TACTAGATTATAAGGTCCTACAGTGAGAGAAGAGAACATCTGCATTTATTTTTAGAGTAAGATGATGCATTCCAAATTTATTCTTCAGAAAATGTTTTAGGCTCTAAATATAAAATGTTAAAGGTTTTTATAAGTTAATACACAGGGGCAAGATATTTTTTCATTAACTGTAGACATTAAAATCCACTGAGCTGAAATTGGTTTGGTAAATCTCATACATTTAATACTAATCATTATGGGCTGAAAAGTAATTATAAATTTGTACATGTGCATAAACTGTGTTATCAATCAACTTCTTTATACATATCTCTTATGGTCAGACGTGTTTCTTTAAAATTTTTATAAACAGCTGAGTAAAAAAGATTATCTGGCTATCCGAATTTTATAGACATTTATACATGTCAGATAGATTAGATTTCAAGAACCATGGGAAATAGTGCTGTTGGCCTTAAGACTGCCCAGTTGTAAGCCCATACATAGTATTACAGTTATTTTAAAACAGCAGTCTCATAGAACTTACTGGTCCATAATTAGCCCTAGCTAAGACCTTGTATATGTTTAGTTTATTCATTCTCTCACTCATGATGCAACAAGATATTTAGTAAATGTTCTAATGTGTGCCAGGTACTAGGCTTATTAAAATGAGTAAGAATAAACTCCTGTTTCTGAGGATTTACAGAAGAGTGAGAAAGAGAGACTAGAAACAGTTTTATAATGGAATGGAATGTGCCAGAGGAAATGCGGAAATACAAAAGCAGATATTTAAGCAGCAAAGCCAGGGGGGCGTGTGTCTGTAATCCTAGCACTTAGGGAGCTGAGGTGAGAGATTGTTGAGCCAGGAGTTCAATACCAACCCAGCAACATACGAGACCCTCTTTCTACAAAAATGAAAAAAAAATTACCGGGATGGTAGTGTATACCTGTAATCCCAGCTACTCAGGGGGCTGAGGCAGGAGATCCCTTGAGCCAGGAGTTCGGCTGCAGTGAACTATGACTACACCACTGAACTCCAGCCTGGGAACAGAATGAGACCAAGAAAGAAAGAGAAAGAAAAAGAAAGAAAGAAAAGCAAGGAAGCAAGCAGACAGTGTTATAGCTTAGGCCTAAGTATAATCAAGTTTATCAACCAGATCCTGACTGTAGCAATTGCTTGGTTTTGGACAGTATGCTTCCTCCCAGGCTCTAACACAGAGTGCCACTCTGATCTTGGGAAACGGCAAATCCTGCTATCAGTTTTGCTTGATAGCTGATTGATCTAGACCCTGGATTAAATTTTCTTCCAATTACATCTGTCACAAAATGCTTGTGCTTCTCACCAAAATCTAATCCAACAAGACCTCTTTTCTCATCAGAATTCCTGGCAAAAACTACTGTTTTGGGAGCAACAGTCTTACCTTAGGCTGGGGATGGATGAGCAGAGATAGGAAAGAAGAACACAACAGCTTATCAACAATGACAACCTCTTTACCTGAAGTACACAAGTCAGGGAGCTGTGCCTTACTTTCAAGCGGGCAGTGGGTACTATCTCGGAGAAAGGGAAGCAAGTTTGGTGATCATTTCAGCATAAAGACTGATCTGTTTTTCATGGTAGCGCTGCCCTTATGATGGTCTCTCTTGAAAAGCTTATGCAAATACTAAAAGGAACAAAGAATAGTCCATGAATATTAAGATAAAAAAAGCAATACCGGGCAGCATTGCTACTTTAGTTCTAAACAGCTCCCACAGAGAGCTGGGGAGAAGAAGTCCTTAGGAAAAATCTCTAGGTGATGGAGGAGTGGAAAACAGAATCTCTCTGGGAAGGCAGGACTGTGACTCAGTTTTTTTATCTGCAAATCTCATTGGGTTGTTTTGAGAATTAAACAAGTTGCCATTTGTAAACCACTGGGAACCATGCCTGGCATATAACTAAGCACTACAAAATATTGATTATAATTTGTAATATTTGTCACCATCATCTGCTTGGCTAAGAAACAAGATGACTTGATTAGTGGTTCTCCTAGAATTATAAAAATTCTCTTCTATAAAAGGGTGTAGATCATGGTTTAGCATTTGTTCTTCAAAATTCAAGTAGCAGGTGTTAATTAATTCTCATACATTCCACATTTCTTCTTTGTTGAGTCTTGAAATGCTGCCTAACTGGTGACATCAAACAAAAAATAAAAACTAAAAATAAAGAATACAGGTGTTCTGAACCATTTCAAAATTGATTCATTACCCTACCTGTCTGAAAAAGTTAATGGACTTCAAAGGAAGTAAGTAATTGACTTTCTACTCACAGGAAAGATGATCAATATCATACTCAGATGTTAGAAAACAGTGTTCAATGTTTAATGTTCAATGTAAACAAAAACCTCAACCTACTGAGGGCAGGAAGACTTAACATACTGAACACATAAAGTGCACTCACACCTTGAGTGGTGTATCCAAGTGGATTGGTTCATAATAAACACAGGCCTCGGTGTGCCCTGAAGCTGTGATGTAAATGAGTGAGCTGATGATGTTTGATATTTGCTGTTGTACACAGCCACAAACAAGCCTGACCATCACATATGCACCTTAAAGAACCCCTGTGCAGCTAACTGTTCACATATCCCTAAGGCAAGACAGAGAGGCAGAGCAGCGAGACTGGACTCATCTGCCAGGCCGACGGTGCAATGAAGACCCACCAGTCTACTGGCACTGGGGTCAGTGTGTGAGCTGGGATACACGGTGCTGTTCCCCAGAGCACAAACAAGACAGGGAGGCTCTGTCACCTCTGCCGAGTCAAATTTATATAGATGATACACTGCCTGGGCAGGGAAGATGAGCCATTTCAGTGCGGGATCTGCCACCATCTCCCCATTAAACTGATTACACCGTCACACAGATAGCTACTGCCTATAATCCTGTTCTCGTGGCTTAAGTAGGTCAGAAATCACTGCTTTATAAATGAAAGGTGGCCAGCAGTGTGAAGCCTTGCTTGGGTAAGCAGATAATCTTGAGATTTCTAATCATGGCGATATAGCAATAGCATCTGCACAGCAAAAGAATAAAAAAGTGCCTCACATTCCTATCCTTGAGTATTCAAAAGCTTCAATGTATAAAACTGAATTTTGAATAAAACACTTTATTCCCTGAGCCTCCTCTTGGGGTGCAAAGAGATAGGCAAAGACACAAGTATTCATTGTATCTGATACCCACAGTCTCACTGGTGTAATCCCTGTCTACTGAAGCCTTTTCTTGCTAAATTTTACAGGACATAGAAAACATCTACTCCTACTTTATTCCATGATTATACAAAGCAAAGAATCAAAGAGCCCCAAGAAAATCTAGATAGTGGGCCTTAGTAGCACAACACCAAGACTGCACGAGAGAAGTGAGATTAGCTATTGCCAGGGTGAGGAACAAAAAAAAAAAAAAAAAAAAAAGAGGCTCTCTTA